AGACATAAGTACGAGTCAGTTGCCAAGCGTCTGAATTTTGATCCTGTGACCACGGGGATGCCGTAGCGGTTATAAGTGTGAAAAATGGTCATAAATCACTTTTTTCAGTGCTGTTGTAACTTTGAATGGCCACTAAATGAATGTCATAAGCAGAGGACTACTTGTAAAACCAAAACCACTGTACTATCAGAGGGGCATTTTCAGATCCTTGGAAAAATGATGTAAGAAAGTGAAAAGTTTTGGGTTTTTTGGGGTTTTTTTTTTTTTTTTGCAAAATGGAAAGGGCTATAAAGATCAGTATTCTTCCAAAATGCTGGGTCCTTGTCTCTCCCAGTCTTAATTGCTTGGCTTAAAAACACAAAAGTGCTGCTTTTGAACCCATGCATCTAAGTAATGATGTGCTTTCCTGACACTCCATTTGCATTTTGTTGTCCGCAGTAATAATGTTAATGGTAAGAAACGACCGAAACCTTTATTTAAACTGCAAAGCAGTATTTCAGTTCCTGTTTACTTGCTCTCAAATTTGGACTCTGTCCCCGATAGACTTTTCTGCTTGGTTTCCTTCTTGTAGAGCAGGAAACAGTGTCAAACTCGCCACGTCATGTGACATGTCGCGACGTATCACGACTTTTCCCCCATTGCCGGAACTGGGGTGGGCGCGGTTACGGTATGATGCATCCGGCCCGCGGGCCAGTAGTTTGACACCCCTGTTGTAGAGAATGGGAATTCATCATGCGCACCTGAAAGGTATTGAAATAACAAGTGAGAGGTGGGAGAGGGCAGGGGCTGGCAGTGTTCAGGAAATAATGTCTCTTAAACAAACAAACATACAGGCACTCCTCAGCCTACGACTGCAAGTGAGCCTAAAATTTAAGTGATCTATTTCAGCCGTAAGACCTCGTCGTAAAAATGGTGAAACTGCATCAATTTATCTTGGAAAAAAGGCAGGAACAAGAACCAGAGAACCCTCTTGGATATTGCAAAGGAAATAGTGCAGTAAATTATTAGAAATTCTTTTAAAATAGACTGATACTTAACATGGACCCCCCAAAAAATTGCAAAATTTCTTGATCACTGCCAGATATTTACTTTCTGAACTATAGGCAGGCATAAATCTCAATGCACAATGCATATAACAAAACTTCGAGTGGCAATCCTGAACAGGTGCACCTCCGTATCGTTAGAATGGGGTCATGGGGGAACTAAATCATGATGATGATGATGTGTGAATGAATTACAACAAAACTAAGGGAAAGCTTGGCCATGTGCTTGCAAGCGGATGCCTACTACCTACAGTGTGGGATCTACAGCCTCCTTTCCTTTCCTTTCCTTTCCATTCCTTGACTCTATCCTACCCTATCCTACTCTACCCTCCCCTCTCTCTCCTCTCTTCCCTTCCCCTCCCCTCTCCTCTTTTATCTCCTCTCCTTCCCTTTCCCCTCTCCTCCACATCCCTCTCCTCTCCTCTTCCTCCCCTTCCCCTCTCCTTCCCTCTCCTCCCCTCTCCTTTCCTCTTTTATCTTCCTTCCCTCTCCTCTCCTCTCCTCTCCTCTCCTCACCTCTCCTCTCCTCTTTTATCTTCCTCCCCCCCTTCCCTCCAGTGGTACTCTCAAGCCACAGAATTTAACTTCCAGACCCTGCCCTACATGGCCTCCCAGAGGAGACTCCTGGCCCATTAAGCTGCATGCCAATTAAGATTCAGCCTGGTCCTTGCACACCCCAGAGGGGCCGACTGACCTAAAATGCCAGGGAGAAGCCTGCGACATGCAGAGATTCTGTGTGTGGGAAGCCTTAGTTGACGGAGGTAGAAAACAGGGAGAAGAGCTTCATACGTCACTGGCAGCAGCAGGAGGCGGTCTCGCTTTGGGTGTCATTCAGTTTGTTTTTTTAAAAGATAGTTAAGTTGAGCTTTGCGTATCGGTTAATAATCTACTGCTTAACCAATTTATATTGGGGAACAAATGTTGGTATCCCAGCAGGGGAAGTAATTGGCTGCATTTACAGGCCCTTGACCCTCTCGACACAGATGGCATTCCACGATGCCAAGCAGATGCCGCATCTGATCTCTGGGGAGCCCAGCAACAGCTCCTCTGTGGGGCTCCGTAATTAAATTTGAACACCCCTGCTGAGAATTGGAGGTTACCTGGAATAATTTTCAGGGCTGCTTGGCTGCTTCGTAGAATTGGCTTCCAGGCATAGCAAGTGGAGTTTCTGCTCCAAGGTTTGCAGACAGGGTCAGGCCAGGAGCAGCAGAGGAAGAAAAACGGCTATTCCTTTGGGAATGGAGGAAAGCTTTGGGGAGGCCGAGGGATTGCAAAGCCGGTGGAAGGGCTGAGGTCCTAAACTCAGACATAATAAAAACAAGTTGGATGACGCTCTCTAGCTTTAAATTGGACCAGGCTGATTTTATGCCCTAACCCTAACTATTCTGATTTATATTTAGATACAGACCCTTTTCTTTGCAAATAGGGAGCGCGTTTTAAAATTAGTAGCCAGGTGATCCTCAACATATATCCACAAGGGAGAGCAAAATTTCCATTGCTAAAGCAGTTGTTAAGTGAGCCGTGCCTTTTTATGACCTTCTTTCCAGGATTGTTAAGTGAATCAGAGCGATTGTAAGGGAAGCCAGCTTTCCCAATGGAATCTCCCTGTCAGAATCTGGTGTTATCCCCAAGGGGTCAAGGCAAGGCCGGCCTCTAAAGCAGGGGTCTTCAACCTTGGCAACTTTAAGACTTGTGGACTTCAACTCCCATATTATCTCTAACACCATTTTGTGAGTGTTCCCACATTCTCCAGACCCTAGAATGCCCCTGGCTCAAATACTTGCCAGAGTCTCTCTAATGCTACTAGAATAAATGAAATGGACTCTGTTTAGCGTCAAGAGTAAAATCTTCCAGTTAAGATTTTGACTTTTTAAAGTCTCCAAAGTGCACATGAAGAAAATATTTTTAACATTATGGTTAATCTACATCACTTAGATCAGCTCCTAAATACTTGAAGCAACTGCTTCTGAGCGATTCAGCTACCAGTGACGTAGATTCTTCCTGTCTCCAAAGACCATGGGAGACTTTGGATACAAGCGAAGTCTGACTTTTAATGCTAATTAATTCATGTGACTCAAGTATTCCCAAGTTTGTCGTTTAGATCAGATCATAATATCTGAGGTTAAAACCATTTTAATGAAATACGGGAACTGAGATTCTTTCAGTCAGAGCGAGATATGCAATTCCCAGCTCTTGTTTTCAAAAATAAAGGGGCTAGAGACAGCTACAGATATGGGAAAATATTAAAAGCAAAACAAAACTGGAAGAATAACAACCAAGCAAGCCACAATATTGTATAAAATTACTCCAAACTTCCAACCTCATATTAATTTTAAAAAACCCTCCCTCAACCTGCTTTGCAAATTCTGTCGGCTCCCATCTTTCTTCTGCAGTCATTTTTTTTCCAGATGAGCCCAGGGTCAGACCTTCATTCCTTCATTTTACCCATCTGCTCAGGTTTTTATGAAAAACAATCTTAGCTGCTGATGGGGACTTTGGATAGATTCAGCCCTCTGGAGTGTTCTCACTTCTTGATGCTCTTTCAGTTCTCTGGCAAATTTCATAACTGCATCAAGAGGAACCGAGCAGTTCATTGAATTAATTTCTCTGAGGCAGTTCCACAGGGCTTGTAGAAAATACAATGGTTTTTCCTGCTTTTTAAAGCACTGTGTACTTCCTTTCCCTGGTGACATCCTGCGAGTAAAAACTAATATTACTACAATGTTGAGACATTGTATTTGGCAGTGCTCAAAAGAGGTATCATAAAAGCAATCAGGGAAAAACGGATTTCCGAGGGAAAAGGCTGTCAGGAGAACACGTGGAGCATATGTTGCACATTCGGTGAGCGAGGCAGTCTGCACCCCGATGGAATGAAAAGCTTGTGAAAATCTCTCCTAAGTTCTCATGAAGTCTGCCACATTAAAAAAAAATAAACAAGGCATAAGTACTCTGAAATAAATAATCAGAAACACGATTTGGGAATACGTTGCAAAAATCACCCTTGAAAATAGGATTTGTTCAACTGAACGAATTTCATTCTTCCCCTGTGCTCTGGTCTGTTTCCATTAGCAAGGAAAGTTGAACCGTTTCTTGCATCTGGAATCTGTAGTTTCTCCTTAAAAGTCTGATCCTTGGGTCTCAAGGGTACTTTTTCAAAAGGCAACTGGACTGTTTCTTTCTTGGAAGAAGAAGAAGTTTCACTTCTCATCCAAGAAGCTTCATTTGTTCTGGCAGGATGGTGGGGGCAATGGAGAGATCAGTTCTGACAGTGTTAATGTGGATAGAAAGGACCACTGGTCTGAAAGAGTGATAAAAATTGAACAGCTCTCTCTCAGCACGTATCTCCTGTCTGTAACACCATCCTCTCAGCCGCCCCAAGAAGACTACATCCCCATTTGCACTCTGGTTCAGGTAACCCTGGGGGCACAGATAAACCCCCAAGTGGCCTCAAGAGCTCTCAGAGAGAGTACTAACAACCAGGTGACTGCAAAGAAATACGATCTTTCCCCCCACCCCATCCTGTCCGAATTAATCCCTCCATAGCCCCCAGCATCCTGCCACTATTGATGAAGCTTCTTGGATGAATAGCAAAATATCTTCAAGGAAAAACAAAGTCCAGTTGCCTTTTGAAAAAACACCTTTAGAGAGCCACGACCTGGATGACTGAGAATCTTCACAGACATTGATCCTTGAATGTTTTTCCTCTATGCCTTGCCAAAGTTTTACTTTGGATTTAATTGAGCAAAAGCCTGGTCTGGGGACCCATCACAGTTGACCATTTAAGACCTATCTTCCCCAATTTTGCCCTGGCACAAAGGTTTGGTCTAGTATCCTGGAATTCCCAAACACTAGGGGCGTTTCTGATTCAAACAGATGCGTTTTCCTAGAATTTTTATTATTTAATCTCTTTGACTCTTCCGCTTTTGTTGAGTTGTATCTGGAATTATCTCATTGCAGATTCAAAAGAATATCTTTTGGGTCATGGTTCTTTCTTCTGTCTACCCATGAAGACTTTGAACGTGGCCAGTCCGTAACTACAAGGGATTCAGAGCATACCAAGGTGAGATGGTTGAAATTCAAGTTTGCTTGAGCTGGCTTTCTTTAGTTGAAAGAAGTCTCTTGGTCTTAAATAGGGGTTCCTGTATAGGGTCTCCTGCTTGCGCAGGGAGTTGGACTAGATAACCTCCAAGGTCCCTTCCAGTTCTGTTATTCTGTTACTAAGGTACAAATTGACTGCAGCAAGAGTAAACTTAGCCTCACATTGGAAAAGATACTTTGCTTACTATATTGTCTGTAAGACTAATGCAAAATTAACACTTTCCATAATACTGTAGAAATTTACCAAATTTAAGCAGGAATGAGTGCCGTATGTATAATATATCACAGAGCAAGGCAGTTTAAACATTTGGGGTATATTTTTAGAAGTTAAACAGAAACTAACAGCAGTTACGAATGTTTGATGCAAAGTTCAAATATCACTTCAAAGTAGTTTAACTTTTTCTTTTTGCAGTTTTTAAATACAGCAGTCTTTTTTTTATCTTTCTTTGTATTTCAATAATTTAACAATAAAACATATGGATTATTAAAAAAACAAGAGAGGCTTATCCAGGGAACAGAACAAGCTAAGCAATTGTAACAGAGCAGAGACAAAAAAACCTTTTTGAGCTTCAGTTAAATAAAATCTTCCTTTTCTGACTAATAAAAAGATCTGAACGTTCAATTGACTGATTGTTGGCCAAATAATAGCCAAGAAATATAGCAGCTTAGCCAGCTGGGGAATTCTGGGAATTGAAGTCCACATATCTTAATGTTGCTGAGGTTGAGAAACGCTGGTTAACTAATAAAATAACAACCACTATCAAAATGAAGCAGAGCTCTTTGTATCAGGAAAAAAAGTCAAAAGCGTTTTATTTTAAAAACTGAGGGTGGGTCTGCCTAAAAATCATTGGGTTTGAGAATCAATAGCTTTATTAATAGCTGATTCCTGGAGAAGAGAGGATTAAATATTTGAATATATGGGCTTGGTCATGGATCCTTCTTTCCTTCTTATGAGTAGAACTGAAGATGAATGAATTCGGTTTTGGGGTCTTTTTTTCCTCTGCATCATTTCAGATGCTAAAATAGGCATGAACTTGAAATATAACCGGTTGATTTAGCAGGAAACAGTGGCCTGTTTGTCCAATGTTGTTGTTTTTTCTTTCTTCAGACACAGCAAAGATGGTCTTCCTTCTCTTGTGGTGGAATTTCAGAGGCTTTGTGCTCTCTCTCCTTCTAAAAACAAGCCTCTCCTTAAACCCAGATGATCCAAATGTTTGCAGCCACTGGGAAAGGTAAGACTTATTGACTTTATTTCATTTTGTTTAAGTAGAGCATCAGCAAATACATATATACATATGTCTATGGAGATTCTCAGTCATCCAGGTCAGGGTTGTCCCAAAGCTGCTTTTTCTGGAGGCAAATGGACTTTCTTGTTTTCCTCTGAAGATGTTTCGCTTCTCATCCAAGAAGCTTCTTCAGCTCTTGCTTACGTACTGACATACATATGTGTATGTATGTATGTGTGTATGTGTATGCGTATATATACACACACACGTATGCATACACACACACACAGACTATATATATATATATATATATATATATATATATATATATATGTGTGTGTGTGTGTGTGTGTGTGTGTGTTTTCTGAGGTTTTCGCGGGTATTTGTATGTAGGTCTTTGGTTGTTCGGGTTTTCTCCCGCGTAAAACTGGAAGTGTCTTGGCGACGTTTCGACCAAGTCCCATTCGTCATCTTCAGGCTGGTGTTTTCTTGCTGCTCAAAGCACGAAGCTGAAAACACCAGCCTGAAGATGACGAATGGGACTTCGTCGAAACGTCGCCAAGACACTTCCAGTTTTACGCGGGAGAAAACCCGAACAACCAAAGACCTACATATATATATATATATAATATGGCGCCCTAGAATCACAACAGGATAGATGTTATAATTCGATAGCTAAACATCTAGCTGCACTGAGATAATTCACATTCCTGAACTATATATTTGTGTTTGTGTGTATACTGTGTTTTATTAGTATTGCATATCAGTAATTGCATGACCTCTGTAGATGTCATATGCTAACTAAATATTTTTTTAAGGTAAGTGTGCCTCATTTTTGTATTTAAAAATAAATCCAAGGCCCTTCTCAGTATAGCTTTAGAATATAAAACATAATATTACAAAATACAATCTAATTGTGTATGGCCATTGCACAGATCTCAGTCGCTATCTTCTTGATCGTTTGAAGGCCTGGGTCCCTGGTGTGCACAGGTCGATAGAGCTTGCATTCTGGACTTAGGCATTTCTGCTTACAGTGTCAGTATTCAATATATGCCTGATATGCGTGCATTTTCTCCTTTTATGTGAGCCCCAATTCCCCAGCTGTGTCCTTGTATGAGTCTCTGGCCTGGGTCTGCCTTTCGATTTCTTAGATTTATATTCCAGGAACATTCATGTCATATAGGCCCTGTAATCCTCGACTTACAGCCACAACTGAGTCCAAAACTCCGGTCGCTAAGCGAGACATTTGTTAAGTGAATTTTGCCCCATTTTACAACCTTTCTTGACACAGTTGTTAAGTGAATCACTGCAGTTATTAAGTGAGTAACAAGGCTGTTAAGTGAATCCAGCTTCCCCAGTGCTGCCTTGGAAAGAAGTGGGATACAATCTAGGGGTCTCCTGAACCCATTATATCTGCTAGAATAGTAGGTAGAAGCTGTGGGTAGAAAGCCTTTGCTAACTTAAATGGATGTGTCAGGCCCAGTTCTCTGTCTGTCTTCCTTCCTTCCTTCCTTCCTTCCTTCCTTCCTTCCTTCCTTCCTTCCTTCCTTCCTTCCTTCCTCCCTCCCTTCCTCCCTCCCTCCCTCCCTCCCTCCTGATCACATAACACAGTGTTTTCAAGAACAAATGTGAGTGGAAACAAAACCTTTAATTTTGTATTGCAGTTCCGTGGCACAGTACATTTTGAGTCCAAGAATACATTATTGATTTTGTGTGAAAGAAGTCAGCAACCCGGGGATCCAATCAAGGAAAAACAAAAATTAAATACTGGAATTGATTGGCTGCTCAGGCCAAGATGACTGTGATACTTAGATGGCAATAAATCAAGTCAAAAAGATTGAGTTAGGGTGAGGTCAAGAGCTGCACATGGGATCATAAAATAATAATCAAGCTGATTGGGTTTTCTATGTTAATGAAAGATGCTCTAAATAGATGCTGCTTTGGTGTTTCTTGCTGGTAGCTAACATACGGAGGTGAAGCTTCCCTTGTGACCCTGGGAAATTAGGGTCTCGGAACAAAAAATTGAGGGTTACCACCCTGTTTAAGGTGAATTTTTGCAGGCACTTTTGGACACAAAAATGTTTTCTCAGCAAGCAAAACAAATTGGTCTCAGTCAGACCCCTGAACACAGAGACCTTCTTTCTGAGGGACAAAGAACATTGTGGGCTTAAGAGGCAGTGGGGCTCTTTTTTGTTCTCTGAGCTTGGTTGTTTTGTGGCAGACATTTCATTAGCCATCAGCACTGATGATGTTCTCTGGGTAATGAAATGTCAGCAAGAAAACAGCCAAGCCCAGATAGCACCAAGCGGTCCTCCTCTTCTTCCTCCCACCCCAACATCCCACTGCCTTTTAGGGCTGATGATGTTACCTATTGGGCAATGAAATGTCTGCAAGAAAACAACAAAGCTCAGAGAGCACCCCAAAGTCCTCCTACTCCTTTCCTTCCAAGCCACGCTGCCTTCTAGCACTGATGATGTTACCTAGTTGGGTAGTGAAACATCCGCAAGAAAACAACCAAGCTCGGAGAGCACCAAGGTCTCCTCATTTCAACTCTGAGTTACAAATGTTCTCTTATATTGGATCTTCAGCATCCCAGTTGTCCAATTCCTGCACAGGTTGGTATTATTAATGCCAGGAAGATTAAGACCTTGAAGAAAATAATCCGGAACCTTGACTGCAGAGTATTTGATTAAAAGCATCCCAGATGAGCTAGTATTAATTATTATATCAACCCTATGCACTTCAGCAAGTCAGTCTATTCTTTGGCATGACTAGTCCTTCCTAGCTCACCAGAATCAAACTACAACTCTTACACCTCTTAGGATCCAATAAATTTATAGCCTTAAGCTAACAGTATTTTTAGAGGCTTCTATGTGCTAGAGACTAATTCAGTTTAGGTGTTTGTGGGTTAGGTAAAGGACCATACCAAACAAATGGAATAAATTGTGCATTTTTTAATGTCATTTGCCAGTCAGTGGTGACAATTGGAAGAGAAATAGGATGAAATTATAATTAATAATAACAATATGACTTTATTCAGGGCTCATATTGATACAACACACTTGGATATTGATAGCCAACCCTATTGGATAATATTGGTAGTAACAAATATCAGGAATTAAAGAGTCAAAATGTTTCCTGTGCAACAATCAGTAAACTTCGCAACTTCTTTCTCAGGTCTCTTTCCACGCTGTTCAGGACAGCTGTATGCAATCAGCAGCTTTCCAGAGCAGACAGATTTTTTTTTAATTGCTTGAAGATTAAACTTGAGGTAGGAAAAATGTGAGTTTTCTTTCTTGTTCGTCTCAGGTGGGGCCCCTCTGAGGCTACCTGATTAATTTGGGCTGTGCCAAGGTTCCAGTCAGTTGGGGTCCTGACTCAGTGCAACATCTTGGGGGTGCCAAATGCTCTTTCCGAGACAAACAAGAATTTTGGAAGTTTTTCACTGAACGCTTATTAAAGAAAATGGTCTCTTTGAGTTGACTTGCTTTGGTTATGTTTGTTTTTACTGATTTAATTTATTGTTGCCTTCCTTCCTTCCTCCCTCCCTCCCTCCCTCTCTCCCTCCCTCCCTCCCTTGTATTTCTCTACATCTAAATGCTAAATGCATAAAGGAGTGTTTGTCAACCTTGGCAGCTTGAAGATGTGTGGACAGCTTTGCTGGCTACGGAATTCTGGGAGTTGAAATCCATACATCTTCAAGCTGCTAAGGTTGACAAATGCTTGCATAAGAAAAGGGCTGTTGGTCTGTTCTCCAAGCTTGGCAATTTGGCTGCAAACGTTTTGTCTCCATTCGGGGTGTGTGTGTGTGTGGACATCTTCCATGTGCTTTGAATTGTGCTCATCTGTCAGAGCACTGGCCTTTAAATACCTTTTTGTGTGATATAAATTGGTGCAGGTGTTATTTGTCCTGATGTTTCTGAGTTGTGGCCTGGCTTCGAGCTGTTTGATTGGCTGGTTGTTGTTGCTGGGCCTTGGTCTTTGGCGTTTAAGTATCGTCTGTGGGATGCAAATGGTGTTTGTTTGTTTGTTTGCCTCCAAGTCATGTTCTGGTTTCGGGTTGTTTGTTTGGCTGGCTCTTGTTGAGACGTGGTCCGGTTTCTTGTGGGGGGGGTTGTGATTTTTGTTGCTGTGTGGTGGGGTGCCTATTTGTTCCTTTTAAATGCTGCCTTCGGGGCTGCGGTTGAAGTAGTTCTTTCATTCTCAGCAGTTGGTAGATTGGGTTGATGTCAATGCATCTGTTTATTGACTTATTGGCGGAGAATCAGGCTTCAAGGAATTGTCTTTCTCCCTTTGATTTCGCTTGGGTTACAACTGTGGTCCCAGTTAGATGAAACTTGTGTCCTTCTGAGTCCTTGTGGATGGACATGAGGGATAGTGGGTCGTGCCTTTGGATAGTCAGGAAGTGTCTGTGCAGCCTGGTAGATAACTTGCATAAGGAATCTCTCCTAATGTTAGCCCCGCAACAGCAGCACCACTAGAGAAGCTGGGGCTGAGTGTGACCAGTTAGGCACGGAATTCTGGGGTCACCTGGCAGACAGGAATTGGGTCTCTCTGGTCCAAGTCCAATCTTTTAGCCATACTATAATCCTGGCCCCCTCAGAAAATACCCCGTCCTCCTCTGTTTTGCACCCAGCTGGCAACAGAAGATGAGCAGTGTTTCAGATGGGGGAAAGTGAACATCCACTGTTTAGCTCACAATTTATGGTTCTCAATTACCAGCTAATTTCTGCTACAAATTATCTTAGATTAAAATAGCTTCTTCTGTGTATAAATGAGACAAAGTAAAAAAAAATTAAACCCCAGAGACTGATTATATATATGTGTGTGTGTGTGTATGTATGTATAGGTATTTGTGTGCGCGTGTGTGTTTGTGTGGGTGTTGTGTACAGGCATACAATACAGATACACACTGCTATTACTTGCTTCCATAAGATGGGGCAAAACTCATTAACTCATTAATTACTGTCTTGTTTAACAACAGAAATTTTGCTAGTTGGACGTTGAGGACTTTCTCTATTCATTCCCTTCTTTCAAAACGAGGCAGTTGCTATCCAGAGTCCCTGGAATGCTGAATACTCTTTTTTAGATTGTTTTTTTCATTTATGGAAGCAATTTAAGTACATTGGTCTTAAATTGAGAGGTTTAAATTTTCTATTTTCATTGCCAATGTATACATGTCCTGTCTTTTTTATTATGATCATTATTGAAAAGCAGGAACAAGAAATGAGCAGTCTCCAGATTTGCCTTTCATTTCTTTTATTCTGTTTTTCCCAACCCTCTCAGACCCCTAAACCCGATTTTAGTGGTTCTGCTGCCAACGTGGAACAGAGAATTTTATGGCTGGGGGAGAGATTTGTTTAGTTCTTCTTGGAATTGGAAAGTTTCTCCTTTAGCATTTTTTTCTTCTATATTTTATTCAAGACAAGTTAAAATACAAAATTCAAAACTCCAAACCAAAAAAGCCCCCAGATAACAAAACAAAACAAAAAACCAGACAACAAACACAAAACAATCAAAACATTAAAAAGGTGCATCAAAACAACACCACACAAATATATACATGTTACCCCCTCTAGTTGAATACTGATTAATACATTACTACAATATTAGTTCCCACCCTTGCGAAACAGGCCCTCCCCAAATTTTTAAATTACTAAATCTGTTTGCAAATTATGGACCTCTCTTCTATATGTTATATTAGTAACAAAGTAGTTAACAGTAAGAGCAATAATACTAAAACAAAACAAAATTAAAGTTTCAAAACTCTCTGTTAACAGTTACTATATATAGTCCACTCGTAGAAAATTTACCACAGCATCTTATCTATCCCAAGTCATCCCAAAAGTTTTAAATCATGGGTGTCAAACTTGCCACGTCATGTGACGTGTCGCAACATAGCATGACTTTTTTGCATAGCAGGAGCTGGGATGGCATGGCCTCTGCATGATGCCACCGGCCCATGGGCTGGCTGTTTGACACCCCTGTTGTAAATAGTTTGTCCTGGATCAAATATCCATATTTGTTTCTTGATGCCATCTCTTATCAATTGTTGTTTAATTAAATATAATAGATTCAGTCTCCAGAATAAGTCTCTCTTCCAATCAAAATCCATTAGCATTTTTGAACCAATACAAAAATGGTAAAAAAATCAGAAAAAGTATCTTTTCCAACTAACACATGTTCTTATTTCTTATTTAGGACGATTAAAATGTGTTGGTTGGAAAAAATGCTACCCAAATCATTTTGAGTTTTGGTGCTAAAGACTAGCACAGCTGTTCACCTGCAGTGACGTAATACAAGTATAAAAAAAGCCAGTCCCACTTTCCAAATTTTACAGTGCAATTTACTAATTAAAAAAAAAGTCATTAGGGACCAATCTGCACAGAAAGAGACATATTCATGAAGATAGAGGACAAAATATGTTCTATTAGGTGATGGGTATTGTGTTTAATTAAGCTTGGACACATTTTTGGAGTAGAGTGATATAGAAATACCTGTAATAAATCTACCAACAAATCTACAAACAAAAGGGCACATTTGGAGAAAGGTATTGAAATACATACCTATAGTGCAGTTGTTGCCTTTTAATCTGAGAAGCCAGACTCAGCACTTCTGCAAAAGTGGAAAACACTGAATTGGAAAGATTCTCAGAAGTGGGAAACAGAGAAAATGAAACTGACATCTTCATCTACCCCTAATTAAATTAATAAAGGAGAATATTGGTAGCTCAGGGTTGCTGTGAAATGAAATTGTGTTTGCAATGTGAAGTCTAAAATAAATATTGTGTGTGTGTATATTTTAAAGATTCTAATAAAGGAGAATATTTATAGCTCAAGGTTGAACTGAGAGAACACCAAGCCCCCCCCATTTAAAGATTTTATTTCCCCAGGTGGAAAAGATGTACACCCCCCCCCAGAGATACTTAACAGCCCTTTGCATCATTGCCCCATTCACTGTGGACCTCCATCATCTCCCCAATATTAGACATGATCCTTCATAACCAAGAGATTCTCCATTTATGTCATTAATTACCATGGTTTATTTAAAACAAAAACAAATGTATACATGTTAGTAATTTTATCATTGTTATTCATCCTGAACGGTATAGGGTCCCCTACATGGGCAGGGGGTTGGACTAGAAGACCTCCAAGGTCCCTTCCAACTCTGTAATTCCGTACAGGTAGTCCTCGACTTACAACGATTAATTTAGTGACCATTCTAAGTTACAACAGCACTGAAAAAGTGACTTATGACCGTTTCTCACACTTATGACCATTGCAGCATCCCCTTGGTCATGTGATCGAAATTTGGCAACTGGCATTTGTGTTTAGGATGGTCGCAGTGTCGCAGGCTCATGTTTCCCCCTTTCACGACTGACAAGCAAAATCAATGGGGAAGCCAGTTTCACTTAACAACCAAGTTGCTAACTGAACAACTGTAGTGATTTGCGTAACAACTGTGGCGAGAAAGATAGTCAAATGTCTTGCTTTTCAACAGACATTTTGGGCTCAATTGCATTTGTAAGTCAATGATGGCCTGTATTCTGTATTCACTGACGTGTTCATTTAACAAACGTGGCCAAAGGGTGTTGGGATCTGGGCTTTTAACGCTTAAATAAAGAGGGGCATAGATCAACAGTTCCTGTCTCTTCCCTTCTAGCTACGCGGTGACTGTTCAGGAATCATACGCACATCCCTTTGATCAGATCTACTATACAAGATGCACAGATATTCTGAACTGGTTCAAGTGTACTCGACACAGGTAAGCGATAATTGGAAGTTATTTTCAAACCTTTTCTTCCGTTTCATACTCTCCGGATAGCTCCCTTTTCTTCTGAGCCTGGGAGAAGCTCTTCAGCTATGGAGGATAAAGACAGGTTCTTTTGTGCAAAGTAGTCTAGCAGCACTAAAGAGACGGAACATGATTTTTTTCCCCGGAGAAAATAGCCATAGCTTTTGTGAAAGGGTGACTAACCAGCCCTGCCTATTTGCAATACATTTGCTTTACGTTTCGCATTTCCAGTCAGGTTGGAAGCAACTAGGAAGAGCAAGGGACTATCGTTCTGCTTGTTGAATCCTTCTTTTTCCTTCTTGCTGTTGAAAACAAGCCGGCTAAATCTGTCTTTCTCAACCATAGCCACTTAAAATGTGTGGACTTCAATTCCCAGAATTCTCCAACCAGCAAAGGAAACTTCAAGAATTGAAATTCATTTGCCTTGAATTCCACATATCAAGTTTGAGACATACATCAAGGTTAAAAAATACATTGTGGTTAAGAAACACCGGAAACACCTGGAAAAGTTCTAAAAGCAGACTTAAATTAGGCCAGATTTTCTCCAAATCAGGTGTAGAATGGAATAGAGCTGGAAGGGACCTTGGAGGTCTTCTAGTCCAGCCCCCCGCTCAAGCAAGAAAACCATCTCAGACACGTGACTGTCTAGTCTCTTCTTAAAAATCTCCAGTGATGGAGCACCCACAATTTCTGGGGGTAAGCTGTTCCACTGGTTGATTGTCCTCACTGTCAGGAAGTTTCTCCTTAATTCCAGGTTGCTTCTCTCTTTGGTCAGTTTCAAACCATTGTTTCTCGTCCTGCCCTCTGGTGCTCTGGTGAACAACCTGGCCCCCTCTGCCTTGTGGCAGCCCCTCAAATACTGGAATACTGCTATCATGTCTCCCCTATTTCTTCTTTTCCTTAGACTAGCCAAACCCAAGTCCTATTCTGTTCTGTTCTCTTCTGTTCTGTTCTGTTCCATATTTCCTATTCTATTCTATTCTATTCTATTCTATTCTATTCTATTCTATTCTATTCTATTCTATTCTATTCTATTCTATTCTATTCCATATTCCATATTCCATATTCCATATTCCATATTCCATATTCCATATTCCATATTCCATTCCCTTTTCTTTTTCCTTTCTGTATCTTGCCTGCACAAATGTTCTCTTGGACCTAGCATGAAAACCGTTTAGAATATAGCTGAATGGGTAGGAGTTGGAATTTGTATCGATCTTTTTAAATATCAAAAACCTTTGCACATTCTGAAGCAAATATTGAATATAACAACCTTGCAGTAATGTAACACAAATAGAATTATAACTATGGGCATTGATTTTCAGGTTTTTTTCCCTTTCCTCTCTCACCATTTAGAATCAGTTATAAAACGGCCTATCGGAGGGGACTGAGGACGATGTATCGGCGACGGTCTCAGTGCTGCCCGGGATATTACGAGAGTGGGGACTTCTGCATCCGTATGTAGAGGCAATTCTGGCGTTGCATCCTGCATGCAGCTCTTGTTTGGCTTGCAAATGCTGAGATTAGAATTTAAACTGCTGCTTACAGTTCCTGTGCAAGCAGGAAAAACAGGCTGGCCAGGGGCAAAACCTGAGAGAATTATAGGACGTCCATTGATCAGTTGTATTTATTTCTCTTCTATCATGTTCTCATCATATGCTCAATAATAATAATAATAATGATCAGTTGTGTTTTGATGATGCCCAATACCATTATAAGAAGAGAGCTGGGTCAGTCCTTGGTGGCCAATTAGGAATCTAGTAACACCTTTTCCAATTTTTATTAAATTTTTCTGTCTACCTATCTGTCTGTGATATCTATCTATCTATCTATCTATCTATCTATCTATCTATCTATCTATCTATCTATCTATCTATCTATCTATCTATCTGTCCATGCATCCATGCATCCATCCATCCAATTTCTACAGTTGCTATTTCAAGAAATGGTTCTGGATAGCTTACAATTCAAACAAATATACCACAGTTAAAACAATAAGAAATATTTTAAAACAATAAAGAATCCCAAATAATTATACAGTGGCTGAAATATTTGACTGTTTAACAATAAAGCAGGGAAAGGGATCCATTCAGTACTGCAGGCTCAGGAACACGGCCAGGTTTTTAAAGCTTTATGAAAGACCAATGGGGTTGGGGCCATTCTGCTCTCCTAGGGGAGGATATGCCAGAGAGCAGGGGCTACTGCAGAATAACTCAGAAAAGCAGAGTTGAAAAGGACTTGGCGGTCTTTTAGTCCAATTCCCTGCTCAAGTAGGAGACCCCAAACATTCTGCCTGTGCAGTTTCTTCAGAAAAGGCAATGAATTTTATTCAAAGGCAAAAGCTTCCAAGAAGATACTACCAGACTTCTGATTTTTTTGCCTGATAGCAAAAAATTGGCTTAACAATGGAAACTCTGGAAGTGTCTATGGAGATTCTCAATCATCCAGGTCAGAGGTCACCACTACCGGGCCACAGGCTGTTGGCCACTGTGCCACATGAGTGGCTGGCCAATGCACAAGCGTGTGCGCGCTCCCATCCCCCCGCTTGCGCTAGTGTTGCGGCATTGCGTGGGCACTAGCAATGCCATGAGCGTCGGGCGGGCACTAGCACCCCCCTTCACACTAGGTTGTGGGAACTCTGGAAGGTTTTTTTCCCCTTTTGGGTAAACTAAGAGGGAATTCTTTGGGACTTTCAGACTGCACATTTAGATTGTTTCAAGGAACTGTTTGTTCCTGCTGATCTGTTGACCATGTCCGGTTTCTGGTGCAGCTGCACAGTTGATTTCAAAGTTATCTTCTATGGCTGTGAGTTCATTTCCATATTTTTGGGCCTCGCATGATGCAACAAGCATAAGGTTCGCAACCTGGGGTTCATCAAGGCTTACAGAGGGAACTTTCTGTAAACAGCACATTAAAATGTGGTTTAAAAATTGCTTTTCAAAAAATTAGTTAGTTCTGCAGCTGCAATTCCCAAGCCTGTTTTCCTGATAAGGGAAGATGGATGTCTCATGCCCCAAACGTTTGGCTTAAGTGTAGCAAAGTCAGTCGGACAAGGGTTGCACGCTTGAGTTATGTGGCTAATTATACAGCTAACTGCATGCATGCAGTCATTTAAAATTCTCTGGGTTGCCTACTCCTGTGACTCTCCCTTGTTGCTTCCAAACGGCACGCTCTTAAATCTTTAGGCTTCAGATAAATTAATAAATAAAGATTTAAGCCCCTACGATTTTGCAAATAAAGTTTCTAAAACTTGCAATTGTGCACAATGGAATTATATTCTGAAATTATGAGGCAGTGGCCCTCTTTTCGGTCTGACTGGAGGAAATATTACAGTTCTACCTCTAAAAAAAAATCTCCTTCTTTGAGTTGAAGTTGACCCCTGGTGATGTCATGGCAGCAATATGGAAATGGATTGAATTGCCTTTTTGTAGAATTTTTTTTCTACTTTCCAACCTAACGTGCTGTACATGACCCTGGGATTTCCTGAAAGTCTTCTCAGTGAGGATTACCTAAAACGATCTGGCTTAACTCCTAAGCCCAGATGCTTCTTACTGGGAGACGCTAAATCAAAGGAAACCCAATGGTTAATTTGGCATTGGGTTGTCATGCATTGTCAATCCTTTCTCGTAGTCCATCAAAACATGACTTAGCTTGTTATGTGAATATAATTTATTATGTGCCATCAAGCTTGATTTTTTTTCTCCTAATAACTGCATAGTGTATTTGTCCCTAACCTTGTTAACCTATTTTCCAAAGCACCAAAATGCAAGACAAGAAACAATGGATGGAAACTAATCAAGGAGAGAAGCTACCTAGAATTAAGGAGAAACTTCCTGACAGTGAGAACAATTAACCAGTGGAACAATTTGCCTTCAGACATTGTAGGTGCTTCATCACTGGAGGTTTTTAAGAAGAGACTGGACAACCACTTGTCTGAAATGATATAGGGTCTCCTGCTTGAGCAGGGGACTAGAGGAAGTATTGAGTCAATCAGAATAGAACCGGAAGGGGCCTTGGAGGTCTTCTAGCCCAACCCCTGCTCAAGCAGGAGACCCTATACCATTTCAGACAAGTGGCTATCCAGTGTCTTGTTAAAAGCCTCCAGTGATGGAGCACCCATGACTTCTGGAGGCAAGGCATTCTACTGAGTAAATTTCTTCTTAGTTCTAGGTTGCTTCTCTCCTTGATTAGTTTCCATCCATTGCTGCTTCTCCTGTCTTGTGGTGCTTTGGAAAAAAGGTTGGCCCGCTCTTATTTGTGACAGCCCCTCAAATACTGGAACACTGCTATCATGTTTTTACTAGACTAAAAACCTGTCATGTCAACCTCTCTTGATTCAACCTCCTGCCTCCTGGCTCTGCCTCTTCTTCTCCTACAGCTAGAGGGAAATGAGGACTGACTTGGGGTCTTCAAGATAAGCCAAGGCAGCAAAGAAGGAATGAGCACATTACCTTAAAGGGAAAGCAACTGCACTTCCTTCCATCGGGAAACAGCAGCTTCCACAAGAAAGATGAAGATGTCTTTGCAGCTGCCACTTGCTTTCAGAGAACATTTTCCGTTGGCACTAATGAAGATTTCCCAATTAGTCCAAAGAGCTTCTGAGAGTATTGTTTAGGGCAGGATGTCATTTGTCATGTCTTCAAATGCAATCGTAGACACATTACTTAGATGAAAAAAAAATGAACATCATATCTGTTTTATCGTGCAAGCTACTTGGCATAGAGCCTTCCAGATATGTGGGGCCCATTTCCATAATCCTCAGACTGAGGATAATGGGAGTTGAAGTCCACACCTTTGGAGAGCATCAGGTTCTCTCCAGTGTCACGTTTCTCAATCTTGGCAACTTGAAGGTGTGTGAACCTCAACTCCCAGATCTGTGGAGGTTCTCAGTCATCCAGGTCATGGTTGTCTCAAAGGTGCTTTTTTCTTCAAAAGACAACTGGACTGTCTTTTTTTCCCTTGAGGAAGAAAAAGAAAACATGTTTCTTCTTATCCAAGGAGCTTCATTAGTTTTGATGGGAAGGATAGGTACTGATAGTATGAGGGAGATGGAAGGATTGCATTTCTTTGCAGTCCTCTGGTCATTTGCGCTCTTCCTGAGAGCTCTTGAGCCACGTGGGGGGGTATATCTGTGCCCTCGGGGTCACCTGAATCAGGATGCAATAGCTTGTGGAATCTTCTTGGAACTGCTGCAAGGGCTGCATTGTAAACTGGAGATAGGTAGTGTCTTATTCCTCTTCCTCCTCCTCCTCCTCTGTTGAGGGAGGGGTGTTCAATTCTAACATGGATGGATTCTTTTAACCCCCCCTTTCAAACCAACCATCTTCTCTATCCAAAATATCTGCATTCAACTCTCTGGGTTGCCCAGCCAGCCAACCTGCCTTTGCTCCAGACCGTGATTCTTTTGCACTTTTGCAGGAAGGAGCTGGATTTCATGCCAGAAAAATCAATAAAGGAGTTATGGCTTGGAATCATCTGACCTTGTGAAGCTATGTTGTTGGGGAGCCAGTGAGTTAATAGTGTGTGATGAGGGAAGTCCAAATTTCAAGGAGCACATAATGATCAAAAGCCTCTCGTTTAAAAGAGGGTTTGTTAAAAAGTCATAGATTAAAGGCTAATTGGGCCTCCTTCTATTAATTGTAGCGTCACTTTCTTGCAGATTTTCTGAAACAGCTTTCTAATCAAGTGTGACACATTTGGAATCCCGAGTAGCATGTTTTTAAATCTCTATTAGCAGCCCTCGCTGCAGCCCTTAACAGAATGGAGAGTCAATTCCTTTTCTCTTCTGATTCTCAATCCTTGCTAACCCTTTATGCTTTTTCTTTCGATCTCTCCTTCTCTCCCTCTCCCTCCCTCTCTCTCTCCCTCTCCCTCTCTCTCTCTCCCTCCCCCTCTCTCTCTCTCATCCAAATTCGATCAATTATGACTTGAGCAAATGGGCCTGTGGTGCAACTGTTTCTGGATTTCCTCATAATGCAGGGAGCAGAACGGGAAATTTTGCGGTCAAGCTTGAAAATCCACGTTGGCACCCTCAACCCCCATTTAAAATTTTGCAGTAATTCTGCAAGTCATTGAATTTTTTAAAGCGTATCTTTATTAGCAGCTCTCCTGCATCGCGCGATACGTCATGGGTAAATCAAAACAGTGGATTTGATTTCCTTTTGTTTTCAGAACTTTGCGCTTTAGCAAGCATCCCAACCCGGCCAGTTTTTCCTCTCTCCCCTATCTTGTATCTCTTCCTTTCTCCTCCTTCTCACCCCAGCTCAGACCTCCCTCTTGCCCCCTCCAAGCCAGCTGATTACCGACTACCAGAGCCCCCATCCTCGCTTCCACCACCTCGTTCTCCTTCCCTTGCTCAATAATTTTTCAGCCACATCTTGCAGCAGAGGGGGACCAACAAATTCCTCCTGGGACAGCGTCCTGCATTATGGATGAGTGTTGTTCCCTCTCTTGTAGG